TATAGATAATATACATTAGAAACATTGATGTAAGAATTACAGTTCATATTGTCTGTATACTGGATGAGTTCATTTCATGACCGACCACATGGACTGGTCAACTTTATTAGCTTTACTACTATTATCAGTATAATGCCGATAGAAGATCAATGTGCATGATTATATGTATGTGTATTTGAATGTGCATTGTTATAAGAGTGCACCAATACTAATAATAACAGTACAAATGCTGTCAATAGTAATAATAAAAATATTAATTTGTCGTCTCAGCAGGTAACAATGTGAAAAGTGCAGACAGTGTGTATTTTGTGTGTACAGAATAAAGTGTTGTGTGTTTATAAAGTGAATTCTATTGTAATGCTTTCAGTGATGTTTTTAGGTGGTGATTTTACTTACAGGTATAAAAATATTATACATTATTTGCACTAATACCACCTTTGTCTCTCTTTCTTTACATGAATCCACACACTGAGATAAAAGGTAAGTCATCAAATGATCTGCAATAATTATATATGTGAAAAATCATATTCAGTTCTCATTGTATGGGAATTAATGCAGTGTCAATCTCTTTGTGTCTGCATGTTGGGAGAGTGGATCAAAGTGTCTTAATTGGTTAGTGGGTGCACTGGGACATAAGATGAAATGAAGGTCGTCTCACTGTTTGTACCTAATGTGAGTATAAATGTAATTCATAGAGGTGGGAGATGAATATCACTGCATCATTAAGGTGAAAAATAGCAATATTGAACAGAGTATTGACATTTTATTATTTATATTTTGATCCTGTATTAAGTCCATTGTTAGACTAATAAAATAGGAAAATGCGTTGTGTTCTCCTGCTGTTTATTCTTTTCTTTTCATTGTATTTGGTTGTATATCTCTATGACACTAATATAACCTTTTCCCTCCCTCTATATCTGAGTCCACACTCGGAGGAATTACAGCGTGTAAAAAGTTAAGTAAAAATTTGTCTAAAATTATTATGTATGATTTGAATATCTGTACACAGTTCTCACTGTATGGAAATGAATGCAGTGTCTTCCTCTTTTTTACATGTGGACAGAATGGATTAACATGTCTTCACTGATTAATGGCTGCACTGGGACATCAGGTGAGATAAACAGTGTCTTAATAGAGTTTGTCCTTCTTTTCCATTTGAGTAAATGGTGGTAAATGCTTTTATGATTAGGTTACTTGGTTTTTCTCTCTCACTTCTGTTCACATGTTTGAGCTGAAATCTTCTACCTTGGTGTGACAGACTGTGCGGTACTTTAAAACTTGTGAAGACTGCAATCAAAGTAATCAAATCACTTTATTAACCATTGTTTGATACAAACATAAGGAATATGTGTTCATTAGGGAATAAAAACCATTCTGCATGCTTCTCTTTTATCTACATGTTGGTGGACTGAAATGAAAATGTCTTCGTTGTTCTGCCTTTGCTTTGACACAGAAGGTGAGATGAAGACTGATAAGGATTAATTTACTTTTTCAGGATTTAAATGAACTGATATTTCATTTAAATTTTCATTTATACTGCTTTATATATTTAGATATAGATAATATACATTATTTGCACTAATACCATCTTTTTCCCTCTTTCATTACCTGAATCCACACTCTGAGGACAAAGGTAAATCAACAAATGATCTGTAATAATTTTATATTATGTGAATAATCACGTTCAGTTCTCATTGTATGGGAATTAATGCAGTGCGTCTCTGTTTGTGTCTGCATGTTGGTTGAGTGGATCAAAGTGTCTTAATTGGTTAATTGCTGCACTGGAACATAAGATGAAATGAAGTTCGTCTCACTGTTTGTACCTAATGTGAGTATAAATGTAATTAATAGAGATGGAAGATAAAAATCACTGATCATTTAGGTGAAAAATAGCAATATTGAACAGAGTATTGACATTTTATTATTTATATTTTGATCCTGTATTAAATCCATTGTTAGACTAATAAATTACCAAAATGCATTGAGTTCTTAGTCCACATGATGGTGCTGCGAAATCAGAAAATGACATTTTCCTTTTTCAAACTGCAAACTGTTAAAATATACTTTATTAAAATGTGTCATAACTCAGTACAGCACATTACACAACTCTGTAAAGATCATAATAGAATTGTATTATGGCTGAATTATTGTAATATCATGCTGTTTATTCTTTTCTGTTTATTCTATTTTTTCTATTTGCTTGTATATTTTTATGAGACTAACATAACCTTTTTCCCTCCCTCTATTCCTGAGTCCACACTCTGAGGAATTACAAAGTGGAAAAAGTTAAGTAAACAAATTCTAAAATCATCTAAAGTCTAGAATCATTATATATTGTTTGAATAATTCTACACAGATCACTTTATATGGAAATTAATGCAGTGTCTTTGTCTTCAGCTGCATTATGGACGTGTGTGTAAAACGACTGTCCACACAGACCGGTAAGCATCATGAGCACTATTAGCATATTAGCATTATTAGCATTATTAGCACTGTTAGCTAAATCTGCTCTCATTGTTTCCTGTTTAGTGTTGTGACTATAAGAGAATATTATTCTGTTAAAGTGAGACGACAAAGTCAACGTTAACTTTATTATCATTCCTCCTCGTCTCAGATGTGTTGAGTAAGGAATAAAATACAGTCCCTCCTGAACACGAAGCTACACTTAACACAGAACAGCAGAAAACAATAATACAGACACACCATCAATACAATAAACACAGACAATAAACTAAACACTTTACAATAAACTATATGAGCGTCAGTTCAGGACAGTAGATACTAAATGGTGAACGGTGGACAAGCAGCAATGATTATATGTATAAGTGTTTGTAAATGTTTTATTAATGTTTCTTTTCACTAACTCATCACTCACTTATAATTGTAGTTGTTCCATATTGTTGTATATGTAAATAACACTAAACCACATTTTCCCTCCCTCTTTAACTGAATCCACACTCTGAGGAATGAGCATTATTAGCATGATTATTTGCATGATTAGGCAGAGATGTTGTAGATCTTAATGACACTGTTACCACCTTTTTCCCTCCCTCTATATCTGAGTCCACAGTCTGAGGAATTACAAAGTGGAAAAAGTTAAGTAAACAAATTGCCTAAAATTATTGTGTATGATTTGAATATCTGTACACAGTTCTGAATGTATAGAAATGAATGCAGTGTGTTCCTCTTTTTTTGCATGTTGATTGAATGGATTAAAATGTCTTCACTGGTTAATGGCTGCACTGGGACATCAGGTGAGATAAGCAGTGTCTTAATAGAGTTTGTCCTTCTTTTCCATTTGAGTAAATGGTGGTAAATGCTTTTATGATTTGGTTACTGGTTTTTTCTCTCTCACTTCTCTTCACATGTTTGAGCTGAAATCTTCTACCTTGGTGTGACAGACTGTGCGGTACTTTAAAACTTGTGAAGACTGCAATAAAAGTAATCAAATCACTTTATTAACTATTGTTTTATACAAACATAAGGAATATGTGTTCATTAGGGAATAAAAACCATTCTGCATGCTTCTCTTTTATCTACATGTTGGTTGACTGGAATGAAAATGTGTTCGTTGTTCTGCCTTTGCTTTGACACAGAAGGTGAGATGAAGACTGACTTGAGGTTTAATTTCCTTTTTTTATGATTTAAATGAACTGGTGTAGATTGTTCTTGCATGTGCAGTCTGGTTCTGTGCTGTTTGTTCTCTGAATGTTTTTACAGGGATTCCTCTCACCCTGTTTGGATGATGGTGGTCTTTCTCTACCTAAATATGTCTGTGTGATGGAGGAGCAGAGCTGCAGTTAACAGTGAGACCTGTGAAAGGACCCTTTGACAACCTTCCATATGAACTGGTAATCATTATTAGCATTATTGGCTAAAGCTAATCTCACTACATTAGTTTTAGTGCCTAATGACTGGGAGAGAATATTGTGTGGTGAGACATGCTGTTGGTTTTGGGTTTTCTTTGTCATTTATATATAGATAATATACATTAGAAACATTAATGTAAGAATTACAGTTCATATTGTCTGTATACTGGATGAGTTCATTTCATGACCGACCACATGGACTGGTCAACTTTATTAGCATTACTACTATTATCAGCATAATGCCGATAGAAGATCAATGTGCATGATTATATGTATGTGTATTTGAATGTGCATTGTTATAAGAGTGCACCAATACTAATAATAACAGTACAAATGCTGTCAATAGTAATAATAATAATAATATTAATTTTTCGTCTCAGCAGGTAACAATGTGAAAAGTGCAGACAGTGTGTATTTTGTGTGTACAGAATAAAGTGTTGTGTGTTTATAAAGTGAATTCTAATGTAATGCTATTAGTGATGTTAGGTGGTGATTTTATTTATGTGTATAAAAATAAGACATTATTTGCACTAATACCTTCTTTCTCTCTCTTTCTTTACATGAATCCACACTCTGAGATGAAAGGTAAGTCATCAAATGAACTGCAATAATTATATATGTGAAAAATCATATTGAGTTCTCATTGTATGGGAATTAATGCAGTGTCAATCTCTTTGTGTCTGCATGTTGGCTGAGTGGATCAAAGTGTCTTAATTGGTTAATGGGTGCACTGGGACATGAGTTGAAATGAAGATCGTCTCACTGTTTGTACCTAATGTGAGTATAAATGTAATTAATAGAGGTGGGAGATGAAAATCACTGCATCATTAAGGTGAAAAATAGCAATTTTGAACATAGTATTGACATTTTATTATTTATATTTTGATCCTGTATTGAGACCATTGTTGATTTAATAAAATACCAAAATCCATTGTGTTCCACTGCTTTTTATTCTTTTATGTTCATTATTTTTCTGTATTTGGTTGTATATCTTTATGACACTAACATAACCTTTTTCCCTGCCTCTATATCTGAGTCCACACTCGGAGGAATCAAATGTAATCCAATGATCTGTAACAATTATATATTATGTGAATAATCATATGTGAACTCATGCGATGTGAAATCACCTCTGTCTCTTACCTGTGTTTGTTAGATAGTTAAAGTTCAGTTGTCCTCAGTCCTACACCTCACCTGCACATAAGGAGCCTGGCTACTTCCTATTCCGCCTATTATATCAAAAACAGGACTGCTAAACAGCAGAGGGCGCCCACGAGGGAGTCCTCAATGAATGGGAGTAAATGCTGCTCTATGGGTAAAAACGAAAAGTTAAAATAGTTTCTAATCACTCACCCAGAAAGTTTCTTTAATTTTAGAAAGTAGAAGGATGTATTTCACTAAAAAAACAAGAGATCTCACCTATATATTTCCTTTTTTCTACAGTTTTGGGCAGCAGAAGGCGGGCATTACTGCTACTGAGTGCGGCGAGCAGAGCAGCTCATTGGCTGTTTGCGCTCACAGACGTCATGGACATACGTGATGTTTTTAACTCCTATAGCTCGAGTTTAAAAGCTCTTAAAAATATCACAGCAGTGTTAAAATATTTTATACTATTCAATGTTCAGGAAATTAATGTAGTCTTTTACATTTAAAATGTTTAAGCATTTATAAGCTATGATTTTGCTCAAACACTCCATATCAACCCATTCATTTTGGACTCGCTCGGGAGCGCCCTCTAGCGTTTAAGAAACCCAGATGACATTGCAGAGAGATAATTCTCCTCTCTACAAGTTCTCTGCTACAGCAAGCCAGCAAGCAAACAAATGAACCAAGAGCCGAAACTGAGGTCACATGTCGCTTACGTCGCTGTCAGCCATCTTGGACAACACCCCCTGCATGATACAGTGGATAAACAGAAGCACATTCAGTGGCCGACTGTTACAGCTGCGCTGTGCTAAAGAGCGCCATGTAAGATCTTTCTTACCCACTGCTATACGGCTCTACAACGAGTCTCCTTACTACAGAGATGGTACTGATCTCCTGCTGTCTGAACTGTGCTGAACCACATCACTATATCACCTTTCCTGCTAATACACACTGTTAATACACATATATCATAACCTGCTGCTGTAATGACACTTTCACTATGCATTTTAGACTGTAAACACTGCTGTTATGCTTATATTCATTGTGCTGTAACTACCTCATACCACTTAGTGCAGTACCTGCTCCCATGTCAGTACAACAAATCTGTCTTATGTGCTATGTAAATATGCAATAGATATACTTTTATTCCTGCTCTTTAATAGTTCACTTAATTTATGTCTATTTTCCTATTTCTGCCTATTATATGTCTTGCTACTGTAACACTGCAACACTACAATGAACTAACTATCTATCTATCTATCTATCTATGTGTCTGTCTGTCTGTCTGTCTATGATGACAAACTCTGGCGCACTGCTTTTAAAGTCCAAGCTCCACCTCCTTGGACTCAATTCTGAAAGCTGAATGGCCAGATGATGGTGATTGACACCCCATGCAACCAATGAGGAGAGGAGACAGTCAAACGAGCAGGAAAACAGCAACATAGAGGGGAGAGAAAACAAACACACACGTGCGCAATCACTGACACGTAACAAAAGCACGAGCCTTATGAGCGCTGTGTGCGTAATAAACAGTAATGTGCGTAATAAGCGGTGACGTACAGTAGAATTTATACACTCTGAGGAGCGACAAGATTAAAAAGGCAAGGAAAGAAACTGTCTAAAATAGTTGTGTATGATGTGAAAATGATAGAACTACAGTTCTCACTGTATGTTAATGAAGTGTCCTCCTCTTTTTCTGCATGTTGGACTGACTGTCCACATGGTCTGGTAAGCAGTGTTAGCATTATTAGCATTATTTTCTCCCTGTGTGTTTTTGTGTCTGTCCGGCTGAACGATTATGGGGAAAATATAATCGCGATTTAAATGTGAATATTTTCTAGAAATTAAGCTCGGAGCTCTGAGTTTTTAGGTTATATGCGTTCCTGTGAGAAATTGTCTGCTCTTCACTGTGTCTGTTTTAGTTCTTGGACTATGAGAGAATATTAACTTGTAAAAGTCATAAAATGTGGTTAGTTTGTTTTCTGTTCTTCATATACAGATAATATAGATTTGTTTGAGGAATTCTCTGTCTGTTCCCTCTTTAGTACTAACACCTCACAGTGATGAATCTGTTTTATCCGTGTTGCTGTAGATCTAAATGACACTGTTGCCACCGTTTAACCTCCCTCTATACCTGAATGAACAGTCTGAGGAATTACAAAGTGGACAAAGTTAAGTAAACAAAATATCTAAAATGATGGAAATAAATTATGAGAAAAAATATACACAATTCTCAATTTATAGAAATGAATGCAATGTTTTTTCTGTTTTGCATGTTGGATGAGTGCATTAAACAACCGTTCATACAGACTGGTAAGCATTATTAGCATGATTAGCATGATTAGCCAAAGCTGATCTCACTGTGTTAGTTTTAGTGTTGTGACTGGTTGAGTTTCTGTTTCGAGTTTCTATTTTTGTATCTGCTATTTGTGTATGATGATAAACACAGGAGGACTCTTGGATAACTGTAAGATTAATATGTTCTGTGTGAGATTCTTGGTCAAACTGCACTTCCATGTCATTTTTATTAAAGGTGAATCGCCACAGCCTACATCCACTTTTAAAATAAACAGAGCTCTAACCAAACAGCTCTTTCATTTAAATATAAATACATTTAGGAGCTTTTTATAGCTCACATCAGCCAAGTGCTAGCTTACTATATACATACTATAGACCATTTTCCCATCCTCAAACAGCTAAAGCTGTGTGAAAGTTTTAAGGTGGAAAGCAGGAGATTCAGTAAACAAACGGTCTAAAATAATTTAGAATTAAAGATGAAAATCACGGATAATTTGGGTGAAAAATAGCAATATTGAACAGAGTATTGACATTTTATTATTTATATTTTGATCCTGTATTAAGTCCATTGTTAGACTAATAAAATAGGAAAATGCGTTGTGTTCTCCTGCTGTTTATTCTTTTCTTTTCATTATTTTTTTTTCTATTTGGTTGTATATCTTTATGACACTAATATAACCTTTTCCCTCCCTCTATTCCTGAGTCCACACTCTGAGGAATTACAAAGTGGAAAAAGTTAAGTAAACAAATTCTAAAATCATCTAAAGTCTAGAATCATTATATATTGTTTGAATAATTCTACACAGATCACTTTACATGGAAATTAATGCAGTGTCTTTGTCTTCAGCTGCATTATGGACGTGTGTGTAAAACGACTGTCCACACAGACCGGTAAGCATCATGAGCACTATTAGCATTATTAGCATTATTAGCACTGTTAGCTAAATCTGCTCTCATTGTTTCCTGTTTAGTGTTGTGACTATGAGAGAATATTATTCTGTTAAAGTGAGACGACAAAGTCAACGTTAACTTAATTATCGTTCCTCCTCGTCTCAGATGTGTTGAGTAAGGAATAAAATACAGTCCCTCCTGAACACGAAGCTACACTTAACACAGAACAACAGAAGACAATAATACAGACACACAAACAATAAACTAAAGACTGTACAATAAACTATATGAGCGTCAGTTCAGGACAGTAGATACTAAATGGTGAACGGTGGACAAGCAGCAATGATTATATGTATAAGTGTTTGTAAATGTGTTATTAATGTTTCTTTTCACTAACTCATCTCTCAGGTATAATTGTAGTTGTTCCATATTGTTGTATATGTAAATAACACTAAACCACATTTTCCCTCCCTCTTTAACTGAATCCACACTCTGAGGAATGAGCATTATTAGCATGATTATTTGCATGATTAGGCAGAGATGTTGTAGATCTTAATGACACTGTTACCACCTTTTTCCCTCCCTCTATATCTGAGTCCACAGTCTGAGGAATTACAAAGTGGAAAAAGTTAAGTAAACAAATTGTCTAAAATTATTATGTATGATTTGAATATTTGTACACAGTTCTCATTGTATAGAAATAAATGCAGTGTCTTCCTCTTTTCTGCATGTTGACTGAATGGATTAAAATGTCTTCACTGGTTAATGGCTGCACTGGGACATAAGGTGAGATAAACAGTGTCTTAATAGAGTTTGTCCTTCTTTTCCATTTGAGTAAATGGTGGTAAATGCTTTTATGATTAGGTTACTTGGTTTTTCTCTCTCACTTCTGTTCACATGTTTGAGCTGAAATCTTCTACCTTGGTGTGACAGACTGTGTGGTACTTTAAAACTTGTGAAGACTGCAATCAAAGTAATCAAATCACTTTATTAACTATTGTTTTATACAAACATAAGGAA